CTGGGGGCATCCTACTGGACTGGGGAAGGACCAGACAGAAAGTGTGGGAGTAGTGACAGTATCCAAGGATCTCACCCACCTTTTTCCCTCTGGCCTCTCCTTCGAGCTTTGGTGTATTGTCATGCACAGGCTTTGGTTTGTCTAGAGAAAGCAAACCACATCCCAGGGCAAAAGTTAGGGTGAGATATGAGGACTAGGCGCTGCGTTTCCAGAACGTTCCCTAGTCCTCAGGACTTTCTTCCCATCATGCCTCAGGTGAGACAGACCATTTAGTGATACAGAGGAGGGGCCAAGTCGAGGTCATGAGCTGTGGGCGTGGCCTGCCACGGCCTCACTCCTTATCCTTCCTGAAACTGTTTCTCCAATGTACAATGGAGCTGAGAGCCAGGCTTGTAGCTACTGGCTTGGAATCCCAGCTACTCTGGAGACAGAGGCGGGAAGATTACAGTTTAAATCCTTCCTGCGCTCCCACACCAAGTTCAAGGCTACACGGACATCTTGAAAGACCCTGTTTCAAGATGAAAAGTAAAATGCTTTATTTTATTTTGTATTTATTTATTTATTTATTTATTTATTTATTTTGGGCTTTTTTGAGACAGGGTTTCTCTGTGTATCTGTGGCTGTCTTAGAACTTACTCTGTAGACCAGGCTAGCCTGAAGCTCACAAAGATCCACCTGCCTCTGCCTCCTGAGTGCTGGGACTAAAGGTATGCGCCATCACCATTTTACAAAGCCTTTAATCCCCGCACTGGGGAAGCAGAGTCAAGTGGATTTCTGTGTTAGAGGCAAGCCTGGTCTACAGAGTGAGTTTGAGGACAGCCAGGGCTACACAGAAAAACATTGTCTTGGAAAAAAAAAAAAGAGTAAAAAATCAGAAATTAAAAGCACTTGCTGCTGCTTTTTCAGAGGACCAGAATTTGGTTTCCAGCACTCATGTTAGTTGGTTCTAGCTCAGGGAAGTTGATGCCCTCTCCTAGACTCTTCTAGAACCTTCTTCACTCTCGTGTGCACATACACACAGATACACACATATATACATAACATAAAAACTTTGTTTTTGGTTAATAGAAGGACTGGGGTATAGCTCAGTAGTAGGTAGCTTGCCTAGCGTGTTTGAGGCCCCAGAACATTGTGGGTTGCCCTGGTGTTGTTTGTATTTTGGTGCTAATTCTACTTCTCCGAGAGGGGCTGTCTCGGAAGAGGCGTGAATCATGTACTCAGGTGACTTCATGTGAACCTTCTCCCCATTTTAACTTGTAAAATAAAGGCTAGAGCCAGTGGAAGGGAGAGGTGGAGCTGAAAGTTTGAGAGGGGGGGAGGGGAGATGAGGAGAGGAAGGAGAGAGAGGAAGACAGAAGAAGGGGAGTTGGAAGGAAGATGGAGTAGAAGAAGCATGTGGCCTAGAGAAACTGCAAATTTCAAGGGGTTTCACAGCTGGAATCCCCCAGTGAAGGGCTGGGGATGTGGCTCAGGGTAGGTCTGCCAATCTGGGCACATAGCTTGTATTCATATTAATTGAGTTGTGTTTTCCTTGCACGGGCTTACTGAGGTTGGAGATTTACCTCAACACCAGGTTCCTTCAATCCTAGCACCATAAAAGAAAAAAAGAAGAAAGAGAAGAGAGTTGGGTCTCATCTAGACACTGATTTCTGAACAACCTTCTGAGTTCTGGGGCTCCTTTCAGAATCCTAGATTCAGAGATGGCAGATGTCCCAAATCGCTTTTCACTGACTACATCTGTCAATAGAGGGCAGCAAGGCACCGTGCTGAAGTGGACTAAGAAGGGAACTGGCCAGGGTGTCAAATGCCTGTAATCCCAGCACTCAGGAGACTACCGTGGTGACTTCCAGGACAGCCAGGGTACACAGTGAGATCTTGTCTCAAAGAGAGGGGAGGAGGTTTGGGAAGAGAAGAAACACACACAAAAAATTGAAAAAAGAATGGGCTCAGAGCATGTCTAGAATTCACTAGGCTGGGTACTGGACTGGGTGGAGAGAGGGGGGAGTGGTAGAGAGAGGAGAAGGAAGGGAGGGAGGAGAGACAGAAGAGAGAGAAAAGGAAGGGGGAGAGAGAGAGAGAGAGGTGTTAATGGGAACAGTGGTTCATCTCAGGGAGGACAAAACTTTCCCTGGGACGCAACAGTGACCCGGGCTAAGCCAGGAGGAGAGTCCCAGGCTTCCCATAGCAGCTCCCACCCCACCCCTCACCCAGCGGAAGAAGATAGACTGTGGAGTCACTTACTGGGTCTGGACTCTGGGGTGCTCTGCATCACAGAGGTGGGTGGCATGGTATTTGTATCACTGGCTGATCTCCTGCAGGTCCTGAAACACGTATCCCTCATAATCTCACAGGGCGGGTTCTGGCCTGTTTCCATAGGCTCTGTCGTGTTCCTTACCCATCTTCCCCCATCCCCTTACCCGTCTGCTCTTGGGCAATGACCCAAAATACCCTGAATTTCCAGACAGCGCACAGACAGCGTTCAACACCACGGACAGCAGCCATGCCTCCTTGCCCCTGCCGGCCCTTCCAGATCCCCACTTATTACCATCTGCCCTTGGTGCTGTAGAGGTAGTAGCCCAGTCCTATCGCAAGAGCAATGGCAACCAGGATCCCGAGAACAATGCCAACGATGGCTCCAGGAGACATAGAGGATGGCTGGAGACCTCGGCCAAGAGAGCAAAATCAAGACTAAGCGGGGTACACTCTCTTCCTATCCCCAGCCCCATTCCAGAATTTCTTTGGCTTTATCTTCACTGACTGTTTGAAGAACTTGTTTTCCAGCCATTAGGACCCAGCAATTGATAGTGTGAGAGGTATCCTCCCCAGAGCACATTGGCTTGTGTTCAAATCCCCCAACTGTGTGACACTGGGCACATTAATCAACCTCTCTATGCATCAACTGTCTTCAAGTGATGGACCAAGAATTGACCAGTATGTAAATATGTGTTTGGCAGGACTGGTTATTTGGATATATATGAACTGGTTATATGGGTCAGGGCATGGCGTGAGGAGAAGGATTCCTCAGGTGAAACCCCTCGACTCTTTAGGGCAGTGAGACTCTGAGCAGATAAATTCACTCCAGATTCAAATTTTATTATTGACAATGAGGAAAGCAGTACCCACTGTAGAGGACGCCACAGGGATGAGAAGAGACTGCACCTTGTCATGCCTGAAGTGAAGCGGGCGATTCCACAATGGCCTGGTGCTTGCCCATTCATTTCTGTCTAAGCCTTTCACAGAGGGATGATGGCTCAGGGTTTGAGGAAGTGATCCTGGTTTGTCGAGTATTAAGATAGAACTTTCTGGGATCTCTGTCTGTCAGTCTGTCTTTCTGTCTGGTGTGTGTGTGCACGCACGCACGTGTGTGCGGGTGTGTGTGATATAGCTCACTGGACTCTAGGCAGGCATTCTATAGCCCAGAAATATCTTAAAATATTTGGGCCTTTGCCTCCCAAGTAACTGGGATTATACGCCTATATTAAGTCTCCTTTTTTTTAAAAGTTTAATTTTTATTATGTTAAAAGTTTATGTGCATGTATTTGCATACATGAACATGTGTCTCTCTGTGTGTGTTTGTGTTTACATGAACGCAGGTGTCCTCAGAGGCCAAAAGCATTGTCTCTCCAAAGTTGAAGGCAGTTGTGAACCTCCCGAGGGGCGTGCTAGAGGTCCTCCATTACAGAAGCCAGAGCTCTTAGTTTCTGAGCCAGCTCTCCAGCCCACTGAGGTGCTTCTGCCCAGAATTCTGTTGCAGAAATGAGACAAGTAACCAATATTCTAAAGCTATAGATCTGTGAGGAGATCGATGGGGTCAGGAATGACATTACTAGAACATTCGGCATACGTGATAGAGAGAAGCATGAGAAGATACGGTGACAATGGTGATAGAAAGGAAGATGCGATAGAGCCCCTGCCTAGAATCCCCCAGGGAGGGGCTGGGGGCGTGTCTCAGCGATAGAGCCTCTGCCTAGAATCCCCCAGGGAGGGGCTGGGGGTGTGGCTCAGTGGTAGAGCCCCCGCCTAGAATCCCCCAGTGAGGGGCTGGGGGCGTGGCTCAGTGGTAGAGTCCCTGCCTAGGATCCCCCAGTAAGGATCAAAGATGTGGCTCAGTGGTAGAGCAAATAGTCCGGGCATGTGGCACAACCTTATTATATAAAATTTAGTTTATCAAGCACAGGCCAATAAGTTTTACAAATGCTCATCAATCTTCAATATCTATAACAATATGTGTAAACACTTGCATAGACAATTATTCAGAGGCCCTGAAAGATTGAGTAAATTGCCCTCAATGATACAACTAATAAGAACTAGAGCCAGGATTTGAACTCTGATAAACAGTGACACTATGCTTTCCTGTTAAGTTCTCAAAACAGGGGGCTGGAGAGACGGCTCAGTGGTTAAGATCACAAGCTGTTCTTCCAAAGGACCCGAGTTCAATTCCCAGCACCTACATAGTGGCTCACAACCATATGAATCCAGTTCCAGGAGATCCACTGTCCTCTCCTGACCTCCATGGGTACCATGGAGGCATACATGTGGCACACATACATGTATGTATGCAAATATGCACTGTGGGGGTTTAAATGAGAACGACCACCATATATAGGCTCATATATTTCAATACTTGGTCCCCACTTAGTGGTACTCATTGGGAAGAATTAGGTCACATTGCAGAAGGTGTGGCCTTGTTGGAGGAGGTGTGTCACGGGGTGGGCCCAGTCCAGCAGATCTGCTGGACTCCTCCAGCACCGTGCCTGCTTACTTCCACACTCTCCACCATGATGATAATGGAGTAACCGTCCAAAACTGTAAGCAAGCCCCCAATTGAGTGCTTTCATTTTCTATAAGAGTTGCCTTGGTCATGATGTCTCTTCATAGCAATAAAACAGTAACTAAGACACCCGGACACATAAAATAATTTAATTAATTATTGAAATTGGTTTAGTTAGCAAACTGTTTGCCTCTATAGTACAAGGACCCTGTGTTTAATCCTCAGAACCCATATTACAAAAAACCTGGTGGCATGTGCTTATGATCTCAGAGCCAGGGATGCAGAGCCAGGGCTCAGATAAGCTATCAGAGCATATTTGGTTACTTTCAGGACAATGAGAGACCCTGTCTCAAAAGAAGAAGGCGGATGATCCCTTCAGAACAACACCTGAGGTTGACCTCTGACCTCCACACATGGGCACATGCACCTGCACATGAACCTACACACACACACACACACACACACACACACACACACACACACAAATAAATAATAAAAGAACCCAGGCCAGGTTTCTCTACCAGGCATATTGTATGACATTAATGTAATTAGTATATCAACTGTTGGCTTCATCAGATCTCTCTTTTTTTTCTCAGGTTATATCCAAGATCCATTGTCTCTCTAAGCAATTCTAGAATGCAGCCACTGTAGACAGGGCTAGTGATGCATGACTGTATTCTCGGTACTCAGGAGGCTGAGGCAAGGAAGATAGAAAGACGGGAGCCATACACTAGGGATGGTGGTATACACCTTTAATCAGGCCTGCCTCAAAAAAAGGAAGAAAGGAAGGAAGCGAAGGGAAGGGAAGGGAAGGGAATGGAAGGGAATGGAAGGGAATGGAAGGGAAGGGAAGGGAAGGGAAAAGAATGTAATGGAAAGGACGTGAAGGAACTATCCACGACGAGACTAGGGACGAGTGGCAGAGGG